TTTTTCATGCATGTTGCATTTGAGAGCTGCTTAGCGGCCTAGTGTGTCTCCAGGATCGGAAGAGAACCTAAAACCAAATTACCCTGGAAAGCAGCTTTTGTACCAACAAAACAAACTCAGGTGCTATCCCCAACAGCTTGAAAGCTTCTGCGTTTTTGCCATAAAAAGTGCTTATGCCATAAAAATGTAAGCGCTTATGCCATAAAAAACATCGGAACCCTTTAGAATTTCACAAAGCATTTGCACCAGAACCTTCCGGAACCTCACAAGGTATCTGCACCGGAACCCTCCGGAACCTCACCAAGCATCTTCTCCGCCAATACCCTCCGGAACCTCACAAGGTCTCTGCACCGGAACCTTCCGGAACCTCACCACGCATCTTCACCTGGACCCTCCGGAACCTCATCAGGCAGCAGCACCGGAAACTTCCGGAACCTCACCAGGTATCTGCGCCAATACCCTCTAATAGAACCTAACCAAGTATCTGCACCGGAACCCTCCGGAACCCCACAAGGTATCTGCACCGGAACCCTCTGGAACCTCACAAGGTATCTGCACCGGAACCCTCCGGAACCTCACGAGGTATCTGCACCGGAACCCTCTGGAACCTCACAAGGTATCTGCACCGGAACCCTCCGGAACCTCACGGGGTATCTCCGGAACCTCACGAGGCATCTGCACCGGAACCCACCGGAACCTCACGGGGTATCTGCACCAGAACCCTCCGGAACCTTGTCCGGAACCTGGCGTTGAAGCTGCACCGGATCGCACCGGAGCTAATCTGGGCTAAAGACCCCATAGCAAAGTTTTGCTGTTGGGGAAAAAGAACAACTTGAGACCTCGACAACGCTTTAGAATCCAGCCTCAACGGGTGCATGTTCTTCTTCTTGTGGTGGTGGCGGCCGTCGTCGTCCTCGTCGTCCCCTAGCTCACGATCGGCCCAACTGATTGGTGCCACCTCAAAACAGTAGTCCCTGACAAAAGCATCCTTTTGTGTGAGGGTGCCAGACACGCACACAACCCAAACACAACACATTTATAATACATTTATATAATACATGTAATACATGTAATATATGTAATATATGTAATACATATAGTGCGCACCGCACAATGCATTAGTAGCATCTGTGTCCGCTGCCACTGCACCTCGCAGGCCGCACCACGGCAGGCAAGTGGTACCGAGCCGTGACGCCTCACGTCCGCTCAGAGGCCTCTTGGCCCGAGAAGAAATTTAGACATTTAGAATTTTAGAAATAATATAACATATGATAGAATAACTATATATAATTATATAATAGTTTTATAATAGCTATATAATAAACATAATTTTAGTGCTGAATAGCTCACAAAATCTCAAGGCCCCCAAGGCCCCGAAGGCAGTACCAGCAGGGCGACCCTGTGAGGAATTGTGAAACTCTATTTATGCATTTGTAATCCATTTTAAGATGTTTGAAAACTTGCAAAACCAAGGATAGAGACAGCCTCACAGACTGGCAGCGTGCCTATGACAACAGGTTCGCGGTTAGCTGAAATGCTGAGATGTCAACATGAGGATGTTTGCAGGTTTGCAAAATGACACGATTAAAAACCTGATGAACACAACTGTAAACAGTTCATACGCAAGTCTTGTCTTAAGAACTGCAATCTGTTTTGCGCGATGCAACTGAAACCCAAAGAATTACAGACCTTGGAACAGGAGGCCGATCTTTCTTGACACCCGACGCAGGTTCATGGTGACCTCCTTAACCTACATGCATCGGCATGTTGGAGAATGTGTAGCACAAGCTCACCGTACTCACTTTGAAAAGCAGGCTGGTAGAAGAAAACGCAGGCAGATAGACGAATCTATCATGGATGTATCCTCATCAATTTTCACAGTGATAAAGAGCAGAGCTTTCCTGTGTTTACAGGAATATTTTCGCAAACACGAGCTGCCCAACCTGACTTGGATGGACAGCCCAGCTGCACTGGGTGGGTCAGGTGGAAATTATATGAAGATGCAAGAAACTCGCTGGAGAAAGCAAATTCTTGCAACCTCATAGACCAAGATGTTTGGAGTGGATTGGAGCGGTTGATATACTTACTTGTCATGAGAATTCATTGAATGGACAGGACCTTCACAGGATGACGCACGACCGCTCGATCCGGCAACGACAACCTGCGTGCCTTGGAAATCACAAAGATGTTGAATGGACGTTGATGCTGTTTGATCATTTTTCATCCACAAAAGTCACAAAAACCAAGTGTTTGTACCTTGTTCATCTTGTTTGCACGGTGTGGTTTCTACACCCTAAAAGTCAGCTCAATCACTCTCACAACTGCGAAGGTACTATGGCGATGTTGGTGGACCTCCTCGAATTGGAGCAACTTGTCCAAGTCAGAAGTGGCTTTAACATGTTTTCCTGTCAGTGCTAGGCCCGTTTTTTTTTGTTCTCGCAAAGCATGCCAGCATCATTTATAAGTATATAAGAAGTGTTTTCATTGAGGAGGCAACATGAAGAAGGGACTATTGGAAGTCAACCTGTTGCAAAGTCTCAACCGGGTCTTTCATGCAGGGACTTGTTTCACCTTTGTGTGCAGGGCCCTGCTATACTTTTACGATCTTGTACTATCTTTGCGACAATCTCGTTCTAGTTGCAGATAGTTGCGGTGTGTTGCGGTAGTTCTCATCTGTTGCCCAAGAGCTGAGGTGCTGGGAAAGAGCTTCAAGTAGGGCCCAGACCCAAGACCTCTGGTGGTGCTTCTCGGTTTGAAGAGTGACAGTCTGCAATCTCTTGCAAGGGCACTCACAGCTAGGAGACAGTCTCATACAATTTATTCATACAGTGACAGTTCTCATCTTGGAAGTTTTGAGACATTTTGAGACAGGCCGGGCATTGGGGTGCGGAGTCTGAGCCAACTAAAACTCTGACGCGAAGCGCAGAGTGTTAGGTTTCACAGCGGTGGCCAACGAAAATCACGATGATCTAAATGATCTAAATTCCTCCGCTTAGTCCAGCCATGTTCAGCCACTCGAGTGAAAATCGAATTGAAAGTTTGAAGGGCAGTGCCCTTTCTAGCAACTCTAGAATTTGAAATGAACGAATGACTCGAACTTTCTGCAAAGTTGATTGCGACCTGTTCATGTCCAGTCCATCATAGGACTTGAAGGGAGTAGGGTGAGAAATCAGTGTTTCCATCGAGTGTTGCATGTCCCCTCTGATGGTTGCACTTTAGGCTTCGTGACACAGAAGCACAATACGCGCATGTTGCATGCAAACAACAACCTGATTTCGACTGTTCCACACATGCCAGGATGTACATGTTAGTTGCCAGCAAACTCACCTTCAAGCAAACCAGCATTCTTTCGAGACTGTGGGAGGGTCCTGGCTAGATAGCAATAGCAGCGTTCTTTAGGATGGGCAGTAGACTCAGTGGATACTGTACTGCGCCACTTCAAAAGACCGGCAGAAAATACATCACACGTTGACTGTTCACAACATGTCCGATGGCTATGAAGGGTTTCTGTCCTTCGACTGGTCAGACGAGCGGTGGCGGACATACCTGAATGGCCTTTATCCACCACCGAACCAGGCGAGGTTCTGGTTGTGCACGTTGGTGCACGTTGGTGCACGGTGGTGCACGGTGGTGCACGTTGGTGCATGGGCGCCAAGAGTGGGGCCTTCTGACCACAGCACAGCCTTGTGGGATGAGACAGCCAGAGACGGGTCCAATGGGGCATATCGCAGCATATGGCAAGGTTAAGGTAGCCAGGTAAACCATAGAAAGTGGGGTCGCGTGATGTTGGAGGATGATGTGCATGTTATTCACAACATGCATTGGAGGAGCAGATCGCCAGATTTAAGAAGAAATGGTACAAGAAGTGCCTTGGACCTTACCTTTCATAGAGTCTTTACAGTACTTTATGTGATACTTTATTTGATTATATTTGATTGCATTTTTCGTTATGTTTTGTTGCGCTTTCTGTTGCCATTCTGTCCGTTACATCCGCTAACTGGTTCCCAGGAACATTGACTCCAGCTTCGACGACAGCTATGAAGCTTCTCGACCGCCTCCCTCGGAGCCTCTGCCAGGGCCACAACCCAATGAAACTTGGCTCCTCACGGTGATTAACGGATGCCATGCCGCATGTCCTTCATATTTCTTTACTATATTTCTTTACTATAGCTTTTATCGGCAAGAATCACGCAGTCGCAGCCCTGCTCACTTTGTGTTTCGCTCATTTCCGAGAGAGCAAAGCTTTGGCACTGTGTGATAAGTGACAGGGTTCTGGGAAGCCAAGGAGTATGGGCCCTTGCCAAAAAGTATTTACCACGATGGCTCTAGGTGGGGTTCGATAGGCGCGGTACACAACTCTGAGATGGGACCATGGCAATGAGGTCACGTTGGCCTTGGATTCATGCTGTCTGTTCAGAGTGATTCGTGACTCGTGACTTGTGAATTTCTGAGAGGTTCTGACAGTGACAGGTCCAAAAGCCACCATTTGTTTTGGAGCATATTCTATTGCGCTTTTGATGGCCGTGGGCAGCTGGGCAGGCCGGGGAAGCGCAAACGGTCTGATCAACATTGATTGACATAGTCACATAGTCAATGTCATACAATCGCAACTCATCAGCGATAGTCTTGGTGATGGTAGTGTCAATGTTCATCACACCGATCCTCGTCTGTGTAGTGTCAATGTTCATGAGGGAATAACCCTTTCTTGGCGTGACTCCACGTTTCTCGCACTGAAGCATTCTGCAGGTGTCTTTCCACCGCATCACGCCACCATCATCATGGCAGCCTGGCTAATCTTGTGGCTTGAAGATTCAGAGCTTTGTTTGAACATAGGAATTCAACACCCCTCAGTCCCCTCACGAATTATAACACAAGAGCAGGAGCAGGTTTTTTTGCTTGCGAATGCCAGACCTTCAGACAGTGTGAGGGCATTTGTGGCATGGGTAGCAAATGCGGAACTGTTCCACTCATTACATGCTTCTCACAAAACGTCAGCAGGCGAACACTAGATTGAGACTGTCAGTCCGGCTCAGGCCGGCTAAGCGCATTTTGCGCAAGGCACGCAATTAGTTTTGCAGGTCACAAGATGGGCCAAAAGCCATGCTGCTATGAAGGGCGACCAACGCATGAAGCGATCCCCGAGGTTGTTCAGCACGGCAGATGGCTGCCAGAACAAGATGAAAGAAATGAACGAGCTGAAAGAGCTGACAGAGCTGAAAGGATTGAATTTAGCCAAACTCAGGCAGAGACAGAAGAAGTGGAAGAGGTTCAGGATAAGACCGACAGCGGTATACCGAGTATGATGGTCTCACGCAAGAGCAGGAACCTTTTCACCCTGAAGCATTTCAAGATTGATCGAAGTCTTCTCAGAGGCATTCCCTTGAGAGAATCTCTGAGATCTTGCGGAAGTCTTTGGGTCACATCACCTTTAGAGCTGCAAGATGCAGCTTGCTTGCACTGGTGTTGCACTGGTGTTGCACTGGTGTTGCCAGGTCCCCAATAGGTTTTGGACCTCCTTGGAGTTTGAGGGGTTTGACTTGAGCCTCATGACAGGTGAAAAGGCTCGGATGATCTCAAATTGATGTATGCTGTATACTTAGAATTACTTAGATACAATTCGAATGCAGGTTCAGTGCAGGTTTAAGAAGAAGATTTCAGAATATTTACCTGACAGACTGCCGCTATTGCAGCCATTGGAGCCGTGGCAGCCCCTGCAGGTGATACAATGTGATACATGTTGTTTAGCTAGGAGACGATAGAGACATAGGGATCTTAGATGATCTGAAATATCACTGAAATATCACTGAAATATCTATGATATCAATTGCTATCACAACACTCTGCGCTGCCATTTGCATTGCCATGTGCCATTACTGCACTCGCTGTGAGGCAGATCGAGCTGGACTTTGGGAGAAATCCCGCAACGTAGAGAGCCTTGATACTTTCCTATCACATACCTGGCAGCTACTCAGCTTGATCTTTTTTTGGCAGTAGTGTTTTCCTGTTTTATCCCGTTTGTTTTACTGTTTTCCCCGGTGGAGGCTTTCAATCCTGTTCAAGCCTGTGGACACTCAAGTGCTTCCATCATCTTCTGCGAATAGAGTGTAGGCTACGGGTCAGTGTACATTATCACTATTAGGCACTCTAAGATCCAAAGCCGAAGGGGTACATGAAACCGACCTCTTTGGCTCAAGACCCACTGCAGCGTCAGAGAAAACAATTGCAATGCGGAAGCTGATGCCCTTGTAACGTCATCACTGGAACATCTACTTTGACATTGACTATCAGGACATAGTCGGACAGACAATCACCGATTCGCAGGTTATCAGCCGTAGGACTCCTACGGAGCCTACGAGCGGGTAGCCGCGGGCCTTACAGATGACCGAACAGGATAGCAGCGATAATGCATTTTCTTTCTCTGGACATGCCGTTGCACCAGCTGCCGGCACGCAGTCAAATTCTTCACAGAGTATCGACACTGGTGGAAGCGATGCCTCAGAACTGAGAACAAGCCTACCCAGGCGACCTCTGGTTGCTCCTAGAGGGAGACAAATTTCGACAATGCAAGCAATTGAAGATAGGGACAGCACACCTGGAAAGAGAAGATCATCTGCACGACAATTGTCGCCTCCGATGACTCCAAGGACCAAGGCAAAGACTACGTCGTCGAATCCGCCTTCACCGATTCAGGACGCTACTCCATCAGGGACAGGATCTTATCAACAAGTGAACGCCCCATCAAGTGGTAGCGACATCTTCACTGCCTATCAGAGTGAATTAGCTGAATACAAGACATCACTGGAAAGGGCCACTGAAGAAGAATCCGTACTTCAGGCAAGATTAAGCGAGACGACAGCATATGCCTATCAACAATTTAATTTCCTGGAAAGCACCACTCATCAAGAGATGATGTCGATGACCGAACAACTCCAGATGCTGAACTTCGAGTTACAGGCTGCACAACAAGAAGACGAAGGTGCGACCTACAGGATCGAAGAGTTGGAAAGGTATCAGACTATGTCGAATGAAGCTGCATCTCATTTGGAATTCAAATATTCACGACTACGTTCGGAATTCGATGAACAAATGGGACAAGCGAACGCAATTATGGTGCATGTGGGCGCTGATGCGAATGCTCACATCAATCAACTCAGACTGGAACTGGAAAACGCAGAGATGAATGCCAAGCAGGAAGCTCTAGCGGTCGGCTATGCTAACGACCAGACATGTGCTTTACAGATCGAGATGCTCGAGGTTGCTAATCAGAACCAGACGATGAAGCACACCATGGCCATGAACGTCAGGCGACTGGAAACTGAGCTCGATGCTGCTGACATGAAGAGGGACGAGATCATGAAGGAGTTCCGTAGTAACATAAGATCTGAACATGACCGTTATGCAGAATGTGAACATCACTTAGCTTTGGAAGAATCACAGCTTCGATTACAGGTGATCCACAGTGAGAACTTACAATCTCGACTAGCGATTTCTGAGAACAGGGTTTCTGAAGAATCTCTAGCTGAATCAGGTGGCATGCGGGACATGAGGATAATGGGACTACGTTCTGAACTACACATGAAACAAAGTCTTTTAGATCGAATGCAACAGCAACTGACTGAATCGAAGAATCAGTATCATGAACTTTCCTGTCAACAAGCCAGAAGATCTTCACCGAGCAGATCACCGCATGGAGGACCTCTCTATGAGATGTACATGCAAGCCGTGCGTGAACGTGACAGCTTGAAGGAATCTAAGGCTGAGGTTGACAAGTTGTACTTGCAGAATAGATCTGAACTCATTGACACTGAGGACCTGCTCAAAGTATTCCAGCGAAACTTTGATGAAATTGGTAAGAAATATCAAGATGCTCTGAACAAGATCGATCACATGAGCAACAATCCGAATGTGACGAGTACCTTGTTTGACAGTTTGCACAATGAACTCAGTGACAGGGATACAACTATTGCTCGCCTTCATACTGAACTTGAAGCCCAAAAGGACTCTCTTGAGCGTGCTCACAGGGATGCAGGTAAGTCCATCAAGATGTTGAACGACAGAAGACTCGTGATCAAAGGTGCGACTGACTATTCCATTCCTGAAAGCCATTTGACCGAGATGCATCAATTGGCCAATGAGCGTTACGCTGAGGTAGAAGAGATGTCGAGCACCATTTCTGCCCTGAAGTTGGAAAACCAAGCTCATTCTTCTTCATTAATGAATAGACCGACTACATTACATGGGTACCCCAGTAATGCCATGCCTCGGAATGAATGTGAAGAGAAGTGTGCCAAACTGAAAGCAGAGTTGGACGAGATGAAGCAAGAGAGGAACGCTGAAGTTCGAAATCTTCAAGATGAGTTGAAGAAGATGGAAGATCGTAAAGATTACTATAAGAACAATTTCTCTCAAGCTGAAGATCGTGCCAATGATGAAGAGCAGGAATATCGAGCAGAAGCTGAAGCCTTCGAGAAGCTCAGGAACGAGTACAACATCAATGTCAAGGAGTTGGAGAACCTCGAAAGGGATAGATCCAAGTCATCCGTATCTCTAAGAGAAGCCGAAAAGATCAGTCTCCAACCCTGGCCTAAGACCACTGAACTTTCATCCTGGAAGGGAAGTGTTGTTCATGAAGTTTGCGTTGCAAGTGGAGATCGAAACTATGAAGATTGGAAAGCATGGCTAGCTCCGTGTCTTGCAGATCAGCCTGACTTGGAGGCGCTGGCCAAAGCTCCTGATGTGAGATTCCAATCCATTGATGCCAAGCTCTCCAACGCCTTGAGGAAAGTCATTGACAATGCTGGGGACAAGTCCATGCAAGTGAAGTATGACATGTCCATGAAGAACCAATTGTATGGGAGGAGTGGGGACTTCATCAAGGGACGAGAACTATTTGCAATGATATTGATTAGCTTCAAGTCACCTGACCACACTGAAGTTCTCTACAATGCCCATCATTTGTATATGTTCAACTACTATGGAGATGACCAACTTGAGGCCTTCTACAACAAGTGGCTTGACATCGTATACAATATGAAACATGATGATCTGCCTTCCAACAATTCCCTGCGTGACACATTGTTCCGGAAGATTGAACATTCAAAGCTTATGGCCTTCGATATCAACCGATACAAAACCTTTGATGAAGGGCATCCCGAGAAGACCTATGCTTACCTAACTGGTATGATCAAGGGATACATAGCACGAGGGAAGCAAGAACGACTGTTGAAAGATAGAGAACGTGCAGTGAAACTGTCATTGTCCTCTAACAAGACGACACCTGCCTTAGAAGATGCTGACAAGCCTGCCGCTCCCGTCAAGACCAAGAAGGAGAATGAAGCGGCCGCATCGTCTACAGGTGATCCTCCCAAACGTCCTAAGGCGAAAGCGAAGAGTGAAGCTGCATCGGTACTTCCTACGCCTTCTCCGAAATCCCATGCCGACAAGAACAACAAGAAAGGCAAAGGTGTGAAGGGAAGATCATCTTCACCCGTTGACAAGAAGAAGATTTTCTGTAACTACTTCTTCAATAAAGGAGGATGCAACAAAGGTGACAAATGTCTTTACAGTCATTCTCAGAAGGTCTATGATGCCAAGATGAAAGGTAAGAAAGGCAGAAGCGGAAGTCGAGATTCATCAAGAGGGAAAGGTAGAGGAAGTTCATCTTCAGCTGGACCCAAAAAGAAGGTATGTTGGAATTGGCAAGAGGGTACCTGCAAGTTCGGAAGCAAATGTAAATTCCTGCATGCAGATAAATCGCCTTCAGCATCCTCAGAGAGAACCAGCAAGAAGACACCAAAGAAGAAGGCGACTCCCATTACCATTGATTCCTTCTTTGATAGCGACAATGAAGATTCTATGGATTATACCTCACCGAGGATAGCCAGTGCAAAGAAGTCTTCTGATGATCGCAGGATCTCATTTGATCTGGAACCTGAGGTGCACGAGATCGCCATTGAGGACTACCAGGAGGGACTACCCAAACGTATGTATCGTGACCCCAACAAGCAATATGTCTTCTGGAAAGTTGATGATTTGACCGACGATCAGTCCAAGTCCGACAACACCCTCGGTTCAGTCCGAGCACGGGCCAAGGCTATCATCATGGACAGATGTGGACTCCATCGTTTCGTTGATGAAGTTAGAATCATCATTGGCCCCAAGTTCGACATGTTGATCAAACTGGACTATAATCATGATGACTTGACTTTTATTGAAGAGCTTGTTGAACATGAAGCTGGAAAATCCCTCATGAAGTCCAAGAACGTGATGTGCATTTCACTACCAGTGCAGGCTAAAGATCGTAGATTCATCCTGGATTCTGGAAGCGGACATGACTTGATTTCTGCAAGGAAAGCCGAAAGGATGAACTTGAAGCAACGAACCTGTGATCCTATCATGTTCCACACTGCCAATGGTTCAACTGCTACCCAGACGGAAGCAGAGATTGACCTGGGGACATTTGATGTGACCTCTCATGCCTATGTACTGGACGACACTCCGTCCGTGATGTCTCTTGGGAAACGATGCATGGAAGAAGGATATTCCTTTGTATGGCCATCTGGTAAAATGCCTTTCTTGATTACAAAGGATGGTGAGCGCATCGACCTGACAATCCACGATAACATCCCTTATGTTGATCTTGGAACATATGAATGCACTCCTCATGAATGCCATCATGCATCGGAGATCCATGACCTTTTGATACACTCTCAAATTGGAGTCGATGACTTCGACGATATTATTAGCAATATTGGTCAATCCTCACGAAGAGTACATCTCGATGGAGAAAGTGGTCTTGAGACATCGACTGAAGATCACAATTGTTCCCGACATGTCAAGAAGCTCAAGAAGAAGAAGAGAAGAACGATGAACCGGCAGAAACATTCGGCAACTCCTGGAGAAGAGGAAGAAGAACCACCCGAGGGCGGCGAGTACGAACCAGGAACCCCGCTTGGCGATCCTC